TACCAACTTCATCACCATTATTATTATTGCCTCTCTGCGTTACCTGTCACTGAGAACTTTCTGTCAAAGGTTTATTTGCATTAACATTTTTAATGTAGTTTTTAATTAATTTTTTTGTTTGGTTGGGTTTTTTTCCTAATTCTCTTTTTTTCTGAAGGATTTTTAACAGGGAGCAGTGAAATACACAGGTACTGTTAATCTTTAAAAAATAACCAAAAAAACCCCAAACCAAAACCATGAAACCAACCAAGCAAAAGCCAGCCAAAACTTGCCTTATGAACATGAACACAAAGTGCTCAGAAGTTTATTTTTAGCTGCTGGCACTTGAAATGATGATAATATCAGCTCTTTTGTAAGTAGCCTACCGTTTAATAATTTAAGCTGCCGTGAGTTGCTTGTATTGGAGTTTTTTGTTTCTCATTTGTGGTTTTGTGGCCATCATTTAGATAACTGCCTGATTTGGTTTGACCTCTGCAGCGTTTTTGCCCTGGGGGGTGGGATCCCAAGTTCATGGAGGTGAAGGAGTGGGTGGGATGCTGGGTTTGGCCTATCCAGCCTCTCCTCCAGCAGCTCTCAGAAAGGGTAGGGCTGCAGTTCCAGCTGAAAGCAAATCCAATTCACAGAGCACATCCAGTAATTCCAGTTGGGATGTTGGTGCCCGTGTCCCAGCTGGGTGTCTGTGCTGCTCCCGGGTGGTCTGGCTGGAGCTGATCCTGTCTTTTTGGCACATGTACATTGTATTGAGTGCTGTTGTGTTCCAGGGTCTACGACACCACGTCCTTGTCATCGACCATCACAGCCCTGAGCTCCATCAGGTGAGCAGAGCACACCTGGGCCGAGGTGTGGCCACTCCCTGCGGGCCTGGAGGGACAGGACACAGGGAATGGCTTCCCACTGCCAGAGGGCAGGGTTAGGTGGGATATTGGGAAGCAGTCCTTCCCTGTGAGGGGGGGGAGGCCCTGGCACAGGTTGCCCAGAGAAGCTGTGTCTGCCCCTGGATCCCTGGAAGTGTCCAAGGCCAGGTTGGACGGGGCTTGGAGCAACCTGGGCTGGTGGAAGGTGTCCCTGCCCATGGCAGGGGGTGAAGTTGATGAACTTCATGGTCACTTCCAACCCAGCCTTTCCTGGGATTCTTGTCCCATCCTGCCCATCCCAGGACAGGGATCCACTGCAGGGATCTGAGCAGGATGGTCTGTCCAGTGCAAGTGCTGAGGGTTTAGAAGATGCAGGAGCAGATAGGACATAAAGGACGATTCAGAATCGTGGGGTCACTGGGAGGAACGTTTCTCTCTCTTTCCCTTGCCCTGCAGACACAACTGTAACACGGGGCGCTGGCTGACCCGCTTCAGGGCCATCTGGGACCCCAAGCAGGAGCACTGCTTCCTGGTGGGCACCATGGCACAGCCCAGGCGGATCAGTGTCTTCCAGGACACCGGGAAGTTGCTGCACTCCTTCTACAACACAGACTGGCTCACCTCCGTGTGCTCCATCAACGTCGTGCACCCCACTCAGAACGTCCTGGTGGGGGGCAACTCCAGCGGCCGCCTCCACGTATTCAAAGAATAGAAGTGGTGCCTCAGATGCACAGGGTTTTTTTTTTTCTCCTTTTGCATTAACTTGGTTTATTCAAGCAGTTCCAAAGCTGACTGTTATCTCTCAGGACAGAATTGTGTTTTAAAAGCCTTAAAAAATAAATAAATAAATAAATAAATAAATAAATAAATCCTTTAAACTACCTTTGGGCATTCGTGTCTTCAGTGGAAATAAATCCTGCTGGGACATTTGTACCAAAACCAATCTTTTTCCCCAGTGACAAAGTAATTTAAAAAGAAAAAAAAAAGCATGGGATCAGCACTTGCAGCAGGGGTGAGAAACTTCCTAATGATTTCCATGAGGGAAGCTGGAGCGCTGGTGTGCTCTGTCCATCAGCTCTGAAGGGTTCAGTGTCCACGTGTGTTCAGCAGCATTTGTGCCTTGAGCTGTCTGGGGTGTAATTAAACCCTTGCTGGGGCTGGAGGGAGCTCTCGGTGTGAGGAGCTGCCACAGGGCACTGGAGCCAGGGCAGCTCTGTGGGATGGAGCCTCAGCACCCACGGGCCCCTTACAGGCTGTGCTGTATCCAACCAGAATAGCTCTGGCATCATCCAATGAGTCCCCCAGCACTGCCAAGGCCACACTAACCCATGTCCCCAAGTGCTACATCCATGTCTCTGTTAAATCCACCCAGGGATGGGGATTCCACCACTGCCCTGGGCAGCTGTGCCAGGGCTGCACAACCCTTTCCAGGAAGGAATTTTCCCAGTACCAAACCTAAAGCTTCCTGGCACAGCTGGAGGCTGTTCCCTCTCCTCCTGTCCCTTGTTCTCTGGCAGCAGAGCCTGACCCCCCCCGGCTCCCCCCTCCTGTCAGGGGGTTGCAGAGCCAGAAGGTCCCCCCTGAGCCTCCTTTTCTCCAGGCTGAGTCCCCCCAGCTCCCTCCTGCTGCTCCTGCTGCTCCAGGCCCTTCCCCAGCTCTGTTTCCGTCTCAGGGCATGTTCCATGTCTTTCTTGTCATGAGGGGCCCAAAATTCCAGGTGCATTTGTAAAAATTGTGTCCAAACAGTGCAGGGATGTGTGAGGGACTCACCTGCAGCAACACTTGCTCCCTGTGGCCTGAGCCTGCTCCTCACTGCTAAAAGACCAAATTCATCACAGTTTGAGCTGAGTTTTCACTCAAAGAAAAAAATGAGTACCAGCACCAGAAATACTGAACAAAGCTCACCCCGACTCTACTTTTCATGATATTTAAATATTTATTTAGATTTAAAAATACTTTTCATGGCACCAATGATTTTATGCTAACTAAGGTATTGGATATGTAAAAAAAGGTACATTTCAAAGGAAAAAAGGATGTAACTTACAGTATTTGGCACATGAAAGGTTAATCTCTAGATTTTCTTCTTTATGAAAACTAAGAAATTCACATTTTCAGGTATTTTACTGTCTACTGCTGAAAGATGCAGTATGCTAGGACGAGATTGATGGGTTTCTGATCTCAGAACCTACAGAAACAACATTTTGATAGAAAGACGGGTAAAACTAACAGGGCCTGAAACACACGATGGAATCTGGGATGGACGGGAAAACGTACAACGGAAAATCACCAGTTCTCGTGGTTTTGAAGTAAAACGCTGGGTGACAACGGCAGAGGTGACCTGGGGCTGGGACAGAGCATTATCCGAGGAAAGCCGGGTGGAAGGTCCCAGGAGGGGACTCGGAGGATGTGTCCAAAGAGGATGGAGCATGGGATGGAGCTGTGCTGTCACACATCACACAGAACATCGCAGTGAGGAGGACGAGGAGGAGGAGGAGGAGGAGGAGGAGGAGGAGGAGGAAGGACGACACTGCAGCGCTAACCCAGGGTGAAAAATGTCAGCATCAGGAGGAGCACAACTGCATAGAAACACCAGCGCTATGGGCTGAGGTAGGAACACTACACTAAGAGTTAATTTTGCTATGTTGCATAAAACAGGATTATCATGTAAAAAAAATCACTCCTCCACCTCCTGGAGCCTTCCCGGAGGGCTCCTGCCTGCTCCGGAGCCGGGGCTGGGCCCCAGGCCCTCCTCGGGTCTCGTGCTGTGAGCGGGCGGCCGTGGCCGTGGCCTGGGTGGGGTCTGTGCCCCCCGACAGACGTCGATAAACGGGACCTCTCCCCTTATTGCAGTGACAACGATCCCAGTCTGGCCCAACGCCACCGTCCCGCTCAGCGGTGGGTGGTGGATGCTCACAGACAACACGGACATCAGGCTTTGTAAAACTGCAGTTATGGCCCCAGCTTATGGAAAATCTCTCCCTGAGATGAAATTAAACTTGCTCAACTGTTCTCACCTTCTCTTTTTTTGCTAATATGTCCAGCTTCTCACCCAAACCTTACCAGAACTGGCTGTTATTGCTCCCTATGGATGGGCTGCTGCTCCCGGTGATCACTGGTCCTGGGGGTTGTCACCAGCACGATGAGTCGGGTTTATTGACTTTTGCTTAAGAACAGTTGGGGCTAATGGTGTCCGTTGGCTTCTTCAGTGTCACCTGCGTGCCTGAACTTCTGTCCTCTTCAGGAGAGTCCAAAACCCAGAGCTCCTTCTCTGTCCCAAACCCAGCAGGGCTCGGCTGGCGTTGGGCTCCTGTCCTATGGAAGTGTTTGCTCCTCAACCATTTGCTCACTGGGAACAACTCGGTACCGGCACCCACGGTCACCCCATCCATAAAGTAAAAAAAGACTGGATTAGATTCCATAACAAAATAGCATTTCCTTGTTAAAATAGACCTTGAAATGTCTCTTTTTCTTTTTTTTGTTCTTTTTTCTTGGTTTTTTTACAAAACAGGTACAACTGGCGGAGGGTAAAGGTCTTCCCAATAAATCTGACAGTCACTACAGCTCCATGCCAGGCTTGGCTGCGCGTGCCCGGCGTTCCCTGGCTGCCTGTGCTCCCCTGCCCTCGGGAGCACCGACGCTTCAAGGCTTAAAAAAGTGGCAAAGGGCCGAGTCCGCAGCAGGGCGAGGGCTCCGATCGCTGCGCCGTGGGGAGAGGGGGAACCGGGGCGTCCCCGAGAGCATCGCGGCATGTGTCACCTCGGAGGGGGCTCCGGCGAGCAGGGAGGGCTCTGCCAAGCGGTTCGTGGGGGGCGGTGGGCACAGTGCGGATCCAATACCGTGACAGTACACGAGTGTTAAATTAAACCTCAGTAGCACCATTGCTAAAGCTCCTGCGGAACGGCACCGCCAGCCCCGGTTCTGCGGGGGGTGGCAGAGCAATGAATTCCTCTCTGCTCGGCGCTTCCCAAGTCATGCGCGTGAGATCGGGACGGGAAGTGTTGTGCGGGCTCCGGGGGTGGGAGCGGGCGGCTGGACATGGGGAGGAGGAGGCTCCGGGGCTGCGCCCACCCTCATCTTCCTCCGCGGAAAGCCGCCCTCCCGGGCCGGCGGCGCGCCGGCTCTGGGTCGGGAAGGGAGGGTTAGTGTGTGCCCGGCGGGTCCCGCGCGGGGACGGCGGCAGGTCTCTCCCCAGGCCCCCGTGGTGCCTCCTGCCTTCAGGTGTCAATGAGCAGGCTTACCACGGCGCGGAGCTTGCAGGCAAACCATCGCCTGAGGGGACAAAAGTATTGGTAATGGAACTGCTCGAACTCGGGGGTCTGGCGGATATCGCGGAAAAAGGCAGTGTCAAGGTCGGACTCAGTAAGGACGATCAGGAGGAGGAGCAAAACAAAGAGGAGTCCAACTGTCACAAGGAGCAAACGGAGGACACTTAAAACAAACTTATTCACCTGTTGGGCCTGTGCCGGCCCACAGGCCAGTCCGGCGCCCGGGCACAGCAGCCCGCAAGCTCCCACCTCCGCTCCGCCGCCGTGCGTGCCCGCCTCCGACTCCTTCTCCTCCTCGATGCTGCACGGGGCCCCGTTGGCCTGGCGCGAGAGCAGCATCAGCTCCAGGCTGTGCTCGGCCACGGGCGTGGGCAGCACGCTGTCGGCCGGGCTGTAGCTCTCGTCGGCGATCACGGCCACCCGCTCGCTGCTCTCGGCGCGGCCCCGCCCGGGGCCCGCGAAGGCGTCGCCGTGGGAGGCCCGAGCGCACCGGGGTCGAGTGGGCGCTGTCTCGCAGGGACTCCATGCCTGGGGGGACAGAGGAAGGGGAAGAGGGGTTGCTCAGTGGGTTGAGGGGGGGCCCTACTGCTGCGGGAAGCCCCCCCACCGCCAGCCCGCTGTCCGCCGGAGTGCTGGTGGGCGGTTGTGTCTGTCGGTCCTCGGGACCGCAGCCCCTTGGCCACAGGTTAACCAATCTCGTGACCAGCGGTGCTGACGCTCGACACCCGACGTGACTCGTCCCCATCAAACTGCCAGCGCTGGCCTGGAGCTGGACCGCGCGCCAGGCCCTGCTTGTTCAGCAGCTCATCACAAACCAACCCGCGGGCTGAACGGTGAAGCCCCCCTGGCTCGACAGTGAAGCCCCCTGGCAGCTGCTGCAGCAGCCTTTGGCGGCCCCTCTGCCACTGGCACCGCCAGCCCCTGGCACCATGGGCAGCTGCTGACAGTACCCAGACATGGGCAGGGATGAGCTGGGGGAGCATGCCCAGCACAGCAGGGGCTGCAGGGAGGGGTGGGGGGCACAAACACAGCCCGGGGGCCACACTGGGGCAGCTGGTGGGTCCCTGCCAGCCCTGAGCTGGGCTGGGCTCTCCCTGAGGCATCACTGTACACAGCCGAGCCTGCTGCAGCCCATGGGGCCAAACTTGGGGATTTATCCATACGGATTTATCCTTACAGATCTACCCCCTGGCTGGCACAGCCCTCCCCCACCAAACCCCTGCACCTCAGAGAGGCACAGAGGGGTCACACTGAGCCAGAGTCGCCGTGGGCAGCAGAGCTGAGCAGTTGTGGGAGCCCTGGAACAGACCCTGCCCCCCTCAGAGCAGAAACTGGGAGATCCCAGTGTGGGAGGTGTGTAAAGAGAGAGTTGTGCTGGTCTGGCACAGGGGGATGTCCCCCATCATGTGCAGGAGACCCCCACAGCACAGGTTGCTCTGAGTTCTAATGGTGCACCACAAACCAAATGTTTTACATCCACACACAGGAGCAGGAGCCATGGGAAGAACTGTGTGCCAGCCCCTTGTGCCAGCCCTGAGCCCTGTACTGGGCTGAGTTACAGCCCTTTGTGCCGAGGAACTCCCGCCCCCACAAATTCCAAGTCCTCTCCAAATTCCAAGAATCCCCACAAATGTGGGACTTGTTTCTGGCAGTTCTGGCAGGCAGGGTAGGAGCTCTGCCATCACAGCATCCCCAGCACCAGGGAGGGTTTCTGAAGATTGTGGTGGGGACCAGTGGGTCCCCAGGGCCACCCTGCTGGCAGCTGGAGGGGGACGGGGCTGGACCTGTCCCCACGGGGAGGACACAGTGCACCAAAGCACCCTGGAGTGTTGTCACCCTATGTCCTGGCCCTGCAGAGGGTGAAGCACCCGGAGCCACCCAGCCACATTCCCGGGGCTTTGCAGCCTCTCCTTTGTAAACACTGCCCGGCTGCCCTGGCTCAGCCTGGCTTAGCACCACTGCCACCCGGGCACAGGGGCAGCCCGGGCGGTGAGGAGCGAACACGTTCTCACCCCGACAGTTATGTGCTCTCCCGTCTCATGTGAACATCCCCCACGGCACCTGCTGCGTCCCTGGCAAGGGGGACACCCACCGAGGGGGTTCCCTGGCAAGGGGGACACCCACCGAGGGGGTTCCCTGGCAAGGGGGACACCCACCGAGGGGGTTCCCTGGCAAGGGGGACACCCACTGAGGGGGTTCCCTGCTCGTCACTGCAACGAGAGCGGTGCTGACCCCCCAGACACAAACCCTCCTGCTGTCTGCTTCCATGGCCCTGACAGCAGAATCCTGGGAAATGTGGGTCCAGCCCCACCCCCAGAGCTGCTCTCTGGTAATAACAACCCAGGGTCCATCCAGCACCAGAGACCCCAGCCCACTTCCCCGCAAACATATCCCACATCCGACATTCCTGCATCCCACCTGCCCCTGGGGCTGTGGTCACCGGGAGACCACAGGGACCACAGCCCTGGAGACACTCCAGAAGAGCCCAGCCCTGGCAGGGCAGCATTACCTGGCACAGGGGCGTCCCCGGGGCCGTTTGGAGCATCGGGGCCGAGGCTGGGCACAGCGGGCAGCAGCGGCAGGATCCCCAGGGCCCGGGACAGCAGGCGCGGCCCCAGGGCCAGCACCCGCACCCGCACCCCCCGGCAGCAGTGGTTGATGAGCCACAGGTGGACGCTGACCCTGGTTTTAATCTTTACCAGGCACTTCACCATGGTGGCACAGGGACAGGAGGAGCGCAGGGACGGCCGCTCGCCCTCCAGCACGGCTGCTACGAGTGGCACTGGTGCTGCTGGCCCGGGGGCAGGGCTATTTTGGGCACCGAGTAGAAGTGAGAGTGAGGAAAAGCAAAGGGGTGGTACCAGCTCAGGGTGATTTATGGTGGGAGATGATTTCATGCTCTGGCTGCTTCGCAACTGCACGTCGGGGAGGGTGTCACATGTAACTGGGTGGCAGAGGTGACCCTGCCTGCTTCCACCCCCAAAACCGGTACAGACGCCAGCCCTGGGATTCCTCAGTGGAATTAAATCCTGTCCCTTGGGACAGGCAGTCCCTGTCCCTGTGCACAGCCCGGGAGCAGGACTGGTGTGGCTGTGCCAGGACAGGGCTGGCTCCACAGCCCATCCAGGCGCAGGGCACCCCTCCCTTCCCCCCTGCTCCTGGGCCATCCCAGGTCCCCCATCAGCATCTCTGTTTTCCAAATCTCTTTGCATCTTCACAAACTTCTGTGCACCTTCCCTCAGCCACAACACACTCCCCAACACCCACCCCACACTGTGTCACCCCAGTGTCACCAGGAGCCAGACACTGCTGTCACCAGTGGCACTGCCACAGCCCCCAGAGATGCTCCCAGCCCTGTGGGGCAGCTCCAGGGCTGCTCCCAGTGTTTTGCCCTTTGCCAGCCCTTCTTGCAGTGCATCCCACCCCGATTCAGTCCCAGGATGGGGAGAAGACTCCCTGCCCCAGCCTGGTGACACACCAGCCTTTCTGAGAACAAGGCACCGGGGCTGCAGACCCAGCTGGACATGTGTGTGCACGCGTGTATGTGTGTGCACGTGTGAGGGGTGTGTGTGTGCACAGGTCTGTGTGCCCCCGCTCCCAAGCCCCGGTGGTGGCCAGGCCCCCCTCGTGCCCTACCTTCCATGATGGAGATGTGGACGGCTCTCCGCCGGGTGCGGGGCACGCTGCTCAGCCGGGGGCCGTGCGTGATGGACGGGCAGCTCCGGCTCGGCACCAGCCCGGCCCTGGGGACGACAGCGGGGTCGGGGTCAGAGCTGGGACGGTGCCAGCACCCCGGGCACGTGGCAGTGCTCCTGCTGGGATCCCACCCTGGGTACCGACCCCTGGGAGCTGCTGCCAGGCTCTTACCGGTGAATCTCAGGGGGCTCCCTCTTGATCTTGGCGCTGGACTCCATCACCTCCTTGGCGACGCGGCCGCTGCAGGAGGGTCCAGAACAGCAGAGGTGAGGACAAGAGCACGGTACCAGTGAGCCAACACATCCCCCCATGGCACCCCGTGTCCCAGCACCACCTGGGCCCTCCCCACACACACGACTCCCTGGAGGGGGTCTCCCCACAGCTCCAGGGGAAAGCAGAAATATCTGCTGGGAATAAGGGCAATGGAGGAGCCTGGAAAGGCTGAGCTGACACCTCTGCCACCATGTTTTGTTGCTTGGCCTGGCATTGGATACCGGACACCACGGGATCACTTCCCCTCAGCTGGGGGACACACAACAGGCATCCAGGCCCTCCCATGCCAGTGAGGAAGGCTCCAGCACCGTGCACCTCACAGCTGGGGTTGTGCTGGGGTCTCTTGTGCTGCAGAGGTACGAGGTCCCAGGCCCAGGTTCTCACTCCAGCAACTTCCCCCAGAAATTTAGGGACCACAGTGATTCATTTCACTTCTTGTTCTCAAACCCCAAATCCATTGTCCTCTCCCCTCCTTTACTCCTGTCCCTCCAAAACTGCAACTCTGGGGGTGGGGAGGGGGCTGGCGGCTGTGACACAGAGACAGCAGTGGTGGTGGTCTGGCTGGGGTCAGCACTACAATGGAGGGATCTCTGCAGGACCCCGAGATGGCCCTTGACTGCTGCAGCCCCAGAGCACCTCCAGGAACTGCCCCTGCTGTCATATTTACCTGTATCGGAACCGGCTTCCCTTGAAGAACAGGTTGCTGCTGGACACCGTCCGCACCTGGCTTGACTTCTCCAACCTGCAACAGCACCAGGAGTGTGTGAGTACCCCACACCGCCAGCCAGGAGCTGGGAATGGCCCTCTGCATCCTGGCAAAGCTCTGCCCAGTTCTGTTCCCAACACATCCCACTGGTGACCAGGACAGGGGACTCTGCGCGTGCTGGGACAGCATCACCCCCGTCGGACTGACCCCACACCCACCCCAGGGGGGAGCCCTGCATTGCCAGCTGATGGCAGCGAGGCCAAGTGACAGGAGCAGAGCCTGGAGATGTGGAATACCACCAGGAATGAACCCAGACGTGGCCAAGTGACAGGAGCAGAGTGCTGGCAGTGGGAGCATGGCTGGGATGGACCCACTGCCAAGGAGTCTCCAGCAGCTGGAAGGGCCTTGGGTCACAGCTCCCACTGGGTCCCACAGGCCATCAGTGACACCCACGTGCAGTGGCTGAAGCTCTCCAGGGGGCTGAAACCCCACCATGGCCTGGGCATGGCAGGGTGATGGACATGCCTGTCCTGGGCAGGTGGGCACTTGCCGGGGTGGGTGAAGCTGCCATGAGGGACCATCCCATCTCCCTCCCATCCCATGGGACCTGATCCCTCACCCCAGGAGTGCCCAGCAGCACCTCAGCTGAGCCCACGGTCCACTCTGCTGGGTGCACAACCCAGCGGTAATTCACTGACACGACTAATCACAGGGAGATTTGTAAAGCAATATTGCAATTTCATTTCATGTTCATGTAATGAGGAGCGAAACCTGCTGATTGCAGCTGCTGATTGCAGAATTCCCAGTGGGAATGCATTGCACGCTCTGTCTCGCAGCTTGCTGATTAAAATAAAACTCATTACCAAGCACAAAGTGGGCTGGGTTAAGTATGGCATAAGCAGGATGGTGAATCCAAGCAGCTCCACTGGCACCTCCTCAGTACTGTGGCTCTGCCAGGGCCACTGGGACAAAGTGCCCCATGGGCAGTGACCAATCCCAGTTCCTGGATGGAGCCCAGAGGTGGGCACTGACCCACAGAGGCCGCAGGACACAAACCAGCACTTACTTGTAGAAAGCCTGGTTCTCAATCCCACACTTCCAGAGGTGTTTGCAGGCTTCTGGTGTCGGGGCAAAATAGGTGAGGACAATTTTCTTCTCCTAAAGGAGAAAGACAGGGAGTTGAGCAGGGAACAGGGAGTGGTGCCCATTGGACAGACAGAGACTGGAGCAGACAGGGCTGGAGAGTGGCACTGGCATGGACAGATCTTGCCTTGGAGCCATTTGGGACACAGGGGGGTTGGAGCACTGGCAAACAGCCCGGTGTGGAGCCAGGCATGAGGGATGGGCAGATATGTGCCAGTTTTCTGCCACCCACCCCTCTGCTCCCAGCCTTTGGGAACAGCCAGAAATACAACTTTCATAAAAAACTCCTGCTGATGGCTCCTGGGGGAGCCAACTCCACCCAGAGGTGTTCCAGCTGACTTTGTGGGACACAGCAATGAATAACCACCACAATCCCAAAGGCAGCACCAGCAGGAAGGCATGGCCAGGAACTGGTGGGCAGAACCTCTGCCACAGCACAGCCCAGGGGAGCTGAGGGATCTAATGCCCAGAGCAGGGCACCAGTGGGAGCAGGGAAGTGACCCCAGCACTGTCATGGAGCTGCAGTTGCTGTCACCATCCCTGTTCCCTTGCCCTGCCAGGCCAGGGTGATGCTGCTGCCAAGTTCCTGAAGAACCCCCTGAAGACATGACCACACTGTGCCCAGGAATTCCCACAGGAAGGGGGAACACTCACCTCCTTCTGACTCACATACAAGTAGAAAGTCTTCCCTTCGAATTTCATCTTGGTCACCTCATTCCTGGAAATACAAGGACAGGTAGGTGGGAGCTGTGCAGAGCCCACCACAGCCTGGAGCCCACCCAGCCCAGCCCCTGGCACCACTCTGGTGTTTGGGATGGCAGCAGGGCAGCTTCCAGACCCTGCTTTCCATCCTGGGAGGTGCAATGGGGTGGTGAGACCAGCTCAGAAACCAAGAGCTGGAATCTGGGACACCCCAGAGTGAAGCTGGGGGTCAGCGGTGAGTCCTGGGGAGCTCATCCCATGGGCAGTGGCTGGTGGCAGTGCCAGGGACACACTGGCCAAATCTGGAGATGCTACAGTGACCTGGGAACATCACAGCCAGGCTCAGAGGGGCTGGGGGCATTTGGGACCTGGCCAACATGGGGACAGTGAAGTTTAATGGAGACAGACGTAGAAAATAATAAGTGAGGGGCAGCAAAGCTCTGGGTGCACTGAGCACTGCCCTGTCTGGGCACGGCCCCCCAACCCTGGTGCCGTGGGGGGGTCACCCACGTACCCAAACATCCCTCAGAGCCCCCGGGGTGACACAGGACACCCACGGAGTGACTGGAGTCTGGGGTGGGAACTCACCACTTGATGAAGTGAACCCTCTTGTTTCCCTGCAGAACGACGAACCCGAAGGGCGTGAAGGCCAGAAACGCCGCGTTCCCCGACACGTCCTGCAAGGCAACCGTGGCTGCTGCTCAGTGCTGCTGGCCAGCAAAGCACAGCACCAGCCACCCCCGGCCAGGAGCTGGGGCACTGCAGCAGCCTGTGTGCCAGCTCTGCCAGCACCGTGCTGCAGTTACATGTTAGCATTTATAGATCACACTGACACATAGAGTATATGCTATTGTCATAACAGCATGTTGTCATTGTTGCAATTAATATATCTATTTAATATATATATTGTAACTATACTGTTATATGTCACTATATATAGTTATTATATAGATACACAGTATTTATTTAATATATATAATAAGTACTATAATGTACATAGTTCAATATAGTTATATATTGTATTATCATAGAATCATAGAATATCCTGAGTTGGAAGGGACTCACAAGGATCATCAAAGCCCAGGTCCTAAACACTGTGTTATATTACTAATACATGTAGTAATTAACCCAGGACATGATAACCCCTGGCTGCACTTCTCTCCCTCAGAGCCCTGCCCAGCCAGTGCCCTGGGCAGCATCAGGCCAGTTCAAAGCCACCAGTTCTGTCTGGTTCAGGCAGCACTTCAACCCCATCCCAATGGCAGCTCCAGGGAAGTGATCAGTGACTGCACTGGGTGCAGGGAAAACCAGAGACACTCAGTTGTGAAAATGTTGTGAAATAGTTGTGGCTGATCAGCAATCGCTGGATTCATCCTGTTTTTGGTTTTGGCCAGCAGGCATCCAGAGGGCTCTTGAGGGATGCTCAGAACAAAAGTCCATCCTCAGCCTGTCAAGGCTGAAAGGCAGAGAGAGCTGATCCCCAGGTGTGAACCCCAAATTCAGAAACCTGCCACAGTTCAAGCCCTGGGCTGTCCAAAGTGCTCTGGCTCTTTCCCAAGTCTGGGAAAGCCTTCAGGAAAGGAAGCAGGGTCTCAGCAGTGATGTACCCTCCTGGGGGTGCAGAGGCTTGGTAGGGGCTGGGGGGGGCTAAAGGGGGCATGGGACCCTGCACAGGTTCAAAAACCCTGTGGATGTGGCCCCTGGGATGTGGGTTAGTGGAGGGCTTGGCAGTGCTGGGGGAGTGGTGGGGCTCAATAGTTTCAAAGGGCTTTTCCAAACCAAACAATTCCATGATTCTCTTTGCTTAGGCCAGAAGTTCTGTCCATCATCTGATACAGAGAAAAGAGGGAATCCCTGTTATTCACACACACACATTCATGCAGGGATTGATGTCTAGAACAGTTACCAAGGGCGGCATCAGCAGCTCCAGTGAGCCCTGCTTAAGAAGGGAATATCTTTTTCTATGTTTGCATTTTTGGGGGAAAACTACTGTAAGACCATGAAAACTTCAGACAAACAGGACCAAGTCAAGGGGCACTGAACCAAGAATGCCTGGTGGGAGGAAACAGTCCCTCATCCCAACTCTGCCACAATCCATTGGAGAAGAGGGAACAGAATCAGCTCCATTTCACTTTGGATCCTTTAAGCTCATTAACAGCAGCTCTTCATGAATTAGGCTGAATTCTGCTAATAGACCTACAAGTGTGTATATTTGTCCTTAGCTGTTGTAAGAACATGAATCAGTGTAACTCAAATATATTTAAAAATGTTCTTGGGGTAAAAGAAAGGCAACTACAGCAAAGGTCAGAAATGGGTGGTTCCTGGCAAGAGCACTGGTTCAGAGGGAATTCACAGCAAAGCAACCCCCGGGGCACTCACAAACAGCCCATAAACAGGGAACTCCCCCAGTTTACTGCAATTGTGTGTTAATGTGGCACAATTCAGGGAAAAGCCCTGAGGGACCCCAGCACAGGCACGGCCTGAGGGGAGAATTCTCTGTCTGCTTTGCATCCCACATCCATCTGCATGTGATGGGATTATCAGGGAGCAGAGAGAGCCACAGGTAGTGACATCCACAGTCAATAAAGAGCATTTCTAAAAGCAAACTGGATTATGGGCTGGGCAGAGCAGAGGATGGACTGTCCCTGGCAGGTTAATGCCTGGTTGTTCCTCAGCCACTGACCCTGTTACTGCCTCCCAATGACCTCCTTCAGCAGCAGATGACTGACCCCTCTCTTACAGCTGTCTGCATGGGAAAATGCTTTCCTACAGCTTCTCTGGACACCCCCGGGAGGGTTTTGGGGAATCCAACCGGAGCAATAGCTTTAGGAACTGCTTTAGAACTGTTTTACCTTGCACGGGTGTGGGTCAACCCCGTAGGTCTCCAGAGTCTGCGCTTTCCTGAGAAAATTCAGCTCTGAAGTAGCTGGTGTCTGCCCACTGAAGGAGAAAAAAACAGGGGAAAAAAGAATATTCCATGGAAGAGAGGAAAGGCAGCTACTGGGATTCTGTTAACAATGAGGTATCAGCTATGGCTCATTCCTGTTAGATTTGTTATGGGATCAACAGGAGCACAGCACTGGAGCCCAGCTCATCCTGTCCTGCCAGTTCCTTCCACTGAACTGGCAACACTGGGAAGGGCCAAAAAGGAGCATCTGCCAAATTTAGAGATGAATTCCCTACTTGCAGCAGAGACATCTCATCCACAGGGAGGAAAGGGGAGTTTGGGGGCAGAGGGCAGCAACCTCTGCATATAAGGACACAGCTTACACACTTTAAGGTCTGAAAATCCCAAACAGGGATAACAGTGCTCCGAGCACCAGCAAACCCCACAGCTCTGGTACCTCAGCTCCGACTTGTGGATCTCTGCAATCTTCCTCTCCAGCTTCTCTGAGTGTTTGGGGAAGAACTGGAACTTGGAGCTGTAGCCTTCTGGGTGCTTCCCCGGGTCGTAGTCCCCAATCTCAGCTGGTGGGAGACAGATCCAGTTGGGAAGAGCAACAATCAAAGCACACTCCCCATCCCGGCAGCACCCAGTCAGGGCTCCGTGTCCCCTGGGAATGCCGCTCCAACCCCACTGTGCTTCCCACTGGGAGGGACCGTTTGTCAGGCATTAACTGCATCCACTTAATTCCATTGCTTATGTGGGAATCACTCAGCAGCAGATGGTCACAAATTTATTAATTCCTCGAGGTGCAGGAGCAGGCAGGCAAACAGGCAGAAGGGCAGAGGCTGGATGAGCCAACAGGATGCTCCCGGGGAACACCATGGCCGGAATGCAGGGGAGACCCAGCCCCCATCCTTGTCCTCCCCCAGCCCAGCCCAGCCCAGCAGTGGGGGTAATATCAGTATTCCAGGTGCAGTGACCTGCTGTTAGAGCAATAATGGGAGCAGTGCAGAGCAGGAACACCCAGCCATTACCCTGCAGGATGTAGGCAGCCAGCAGCGCCGCGTCCGACGTCTTGCACAGCAGCCGCCCGTGGTACAGATCCCTTTTGATCTGCAGGAAGACTAAGTACCTGGGGACAGGAGGGAGAGTCCATTCATTAAGCAAAGTTTAAATTACCCAAACAGGCAATTTAGATGTGGAGTATCTGCCACCAGACACTTGCTCTGACATCTCTCTCCCAGCAGTTCGTTTACCAGACCTGACACTTGCTGGGATTGAACCAGGGTTGATTCTGGCCAGGGCTGGGGCTCAAATCCACACATCCCAGCCCTGTTCCAGCCCACAGGGACATGATGCCTACTCTGGGGCCAGCACCCAGCCCAAGGGCTGGTGGAGATCTCCATCAGCCTGGACACCCTCTGAGTTTCTTCACGGCACCAGAACACAACTACAATCCCCCCAGCCCATCCGAGGTGCCCAAGGATGATGCTCTGAAGGGGATCTCATGGTCCACAGCCCACCAGCAACTGCTGCACTTCCCAGTCCTGCATCCTCCCCTGTCTGCTCAGCTTCCCCATAACATGATTTTTCTCCTTCCCAAACTTTCTGTGTCCTTTCAGGTCTCAGCACACACTCCCATCCCTCCTCTGTCCTTGCCAGAGATTGGCACAGTATCACCCAGGGGGAATTGCCTCCTGTGCTCACCCATCCCTATCTCCATGCCCAGTGAAAAGACAAACTACGTTGGAAAATTACATATTTAAATGAATTTAAACCTAAGTAACAGTTTGGGCTGAGTCCTGTGGTGTTTGGGAAAACCTTTAGATGATAAAATGTGAGTCACAGAGGGAAGGAGCAAAATGGAGCACTCAGAAATGCATTTAAATAACCAGACTCACTCTGCAGTCTCTCGGTCATGCCTCATTGCTCAAATCCATGTTTACGATGAGATAAAACACTAATTTGCACAAATAAAATATATTAAAGAGAAATCAAGATACTGAAGTGGACTCTGTCCAGGGGAAAGTGAATTTTAAGCCCAGGCTCCAGCTGCAGCTGCAGGCACACCTCAAATGGCAGCAAGGAGGGACAACTCACCTGCATGGGGCCCAGTCTGGACCCGTGGAGGTGACAGAGGGCACAGTTAGATGAGGTTTTGGGAGGACATTCTTCACCGTGTTCCACCCTCTGCCATGGGCAGGGACACCTTCCCCTATCCCAGCTTGCTCCAAGCCCGGTCCAACACGTCCAGGGATGGGGCAGCCACAGCTTTTCTGGGCAATCTGTGCCAGGGCCTCCCCACCTCACAGGGAAGGATTTCCTCTTATCTAACCCTTTACTCTTATCAGTGTGAAGCCATTCCCCCTTGTCCTGTCCCTCCAGGCCCTTGTCCCAAGTCGCTCTCCAGCTCTCTTGGAGCCCTTTTAGGTGCTCCAGGGGGCTCTCAGGTCTCCCTTTACAGAAGGTGCCAGCTCAGAGCCCTCCAGCAGAGGCTCCAGCCCAGCTGCCCCAGGCAGAGCCGACCCTCCCCACCCCATCAGTCAGGGACTGGGGCTGATGTGCTCCAGAGATCCACAGCCATGGCTTGTTTTCCAGAGCTGCTGAGATTGCTCCATGAGTTCTCCTCATGTCCTTCCTCCTGGCAGGAAGAGCGGCCTGAAGAGCCCCTAAAGATAGAACTGGGAGAAGCGCTGTCAGGTTCTCAGCACAGTTATCGCCGAGCTCCTGACGTCACAGGGATGTGGCTCATTGCTCCCAGGGACTGCTCCCAGGGAATGGCAGGGGAACTGCAGGCACTCCAACCCTTCCCCACAGACTGAGCACAATAAGGACACCCTGAGCTGAGGACAGAGGCAGGAGTGTGAGCAGCAGCAATGGGCATTCCAGGGACAGTGCCATGTTTGGAGCGCTCCGCCCTGGAATGTGGGTTTGGAACCGACTGCAGTCAAAGACCAAGCCAGGGGGTTTAATCACAGAACCCTGGAATGGTTCGGGCTGGAAGGGACCTTACATTCCACCCCCCTGCCACAGGCAGGGACACCTTCCACTAGACCAGGTTATTCTAAGCCCCATCCAACCTGGCCTGGAACAATTCCAGGGATGGGGCAGCCATAGCCTGTGCCAGGACCTTACCACCCTCAGCCTCTGCTTCCCACCAGGTATGGCAGCTCCGTGTGCTGACTCAGCACAGATGGAGGTTTCCAAGCTTTTCTCCCACAGCTGGGACAATCCTGAAGTGTCCAGGTTGGTTTGGAAATCTCAACAGCTGTTGCTCTCCCCTGACTACAAAACAAAGCTCAGCCCTGTGCTCCTGCCCCGGCCCAGCCTGCGCTGCCTGGCCCAGCTGGTCCTGCCCTGCCCGTACCTGGTGATCTCCTCCTTCAGTGCCGCCGGGTCCGTGGGGTAAAACTTGACACGGAAGCACATGGTGAAGGGAGGCTGGGCTGCAGGAGAACAGAGACACTGTGTCACCAAGGGCAAGGCTTTCCCCTTCATCCTGAACCACCCTGCTTGAGCATATGGTCAGATATGCTGGGGGTCTCACCCGCCTGCCCCGCTTCCCCCAAACACACCCGCTGCCCGTGGTAAGGAGGGGGCAGACAGGCAAGGAGACATTCCTCACTGCAGTGGCCATGAAGTGTAGATGTCCCTGATAAAGCTGTGGGGAAGCACCAGCAGCACTATCTGCTGGCCACCCAAACCTCTCCCCACTCCCAAATCTCATTTCTCCATCCCCACCCCTGCTGTCCTGGTCTCCACAGACGCTGGTGCCCCGTGCTGGGGGGTCATGACCAGCTGTGGCTGCAGTGGGGCTGGTGGTGAGTGATCCTGCTCTCAACCCACCAGAACAACTTTTGGGGGAGCCTTTTTCTGGGAGATGGGCTGCGAATTGACCCCACAAGGGACAGGTTGGAGAAAATGGAATATATCTAAGATGGAAGGAGCACACACTGTCTGTCTGGGACACCTACAACACTCACCCCGCATCTGCTTCACCACTGACTTGGTAAACTCCAGCCAATGCTGAAAGGAAAAAGAAGGTGATTAAAGCCTGATGGCTGTGACTTCACAAGGTGGGAAGGATAAGGAAGAGGAGGGTACTGCTCCAGGTGAGAAAAGCCACCTGAATGTCAGTGAGTGCCCCTGGAAAGGAAAAGGAGGAAGTGAGGGTTCAGACTGGCCCTGTCTCACAGTGAGGGAGAAGCTTCTGTGCCCAGCTCCTGGCCCATCATTGGCTGCTCCCTGTTACAGCCGTGGCAGAAGGTGCCTTGGGAGCAGGAATTAGTTGTTATATTGATCAGTGGGAAGCACAACACAAGGCTGTTATCAATAGCTGTGTCTGGAGTGTGTTCGAACTGGTTCTCATTCACAACGAGGGGTGGAACAGCTCAGTCTGCACACATTCTAACTCCCAGGAAGTGACAGGACTCACTCACACAGCCCTGGGGTGGGAATGCAGCTCACTGGGCCCGTGGGTCTGTGTGCCCCTCTGCCAGACCTGCTGCAGCTTCCCGGGGCTCAGCAGGACACGGATCCGTGCCAGGAGCCGGGCCAGACCAGATCCTGCCGAGCTCTCAGCTCCTGCACTCCCACGTCTCGTCTCACTCTCCATCGCCCGAGGCAACACTCAAGCGTTTGGATCCCCGGCACAGAGCTGTCAAATGGCCTAATCTCGGTGTTAACACGTGAATCAGTGCTAGAAATGGTCCTGCAGACCCGCTACCAGGGGATCTCCCTCCTCACTTTGCAACACCATCACATCTCTCACTCTGCAGCTCACGATGCCTCCAGCCCTCACAGAGGATCCGAGGGCCGGGTGAGTCCCTCCGGCTCACACATTGCCGGGGACTCAGGGAGCCGGGACACTGGGGCTGCTGCCAGAGCCTGGGTGCATCCCAGACCCTTCCCCCGCAGGGCAGGGGGTGTCCCCAGGGTGCTCAGAGGGCCTGTCTCATGGGCAAAGGAATGACCCTGTCGGGGCACCCACAGACCCCTGTCCCAGCAGCAGGGCAGGGCAGAGCTGCGGGGGAAGAGCCCCTCATCACCACCTAAACCTGATTTCATCTGTGACCTTTGCTTCCCGCCGGTTTTCAGCGGCGAGGACAAGCCTGACACCCCTCCCCCGGTCCGGGCAGGAGGGGCTCTCTCTCACCCTTTGCTTGCGACTCGGTCCTTCCACGGATGCCGAGCTCTCCTCAGGTTCAGGTTCAACAGAAAGGCGAGGAGGCGAAAGTATCCTTGTCTCTGCTAGATATAGAGATCAGTGACGAGAGGGGGAAGGGATGGGGGGGGGGTAGAGAGCTGGGGAGCGGGGTTCCGGAAAAATTGTGAATAGTGACACCAAGGACAGTTTGCAAACCCCACTATGCTTCCTTCTGTCTCGATATTTTCGAACTGCGGATAACCAGTCTCCCATCTGCCACTGCCGAGGGGCAGCAGCCACGAGCAGGACCCCACAGCAGCAGCAGACCGAGCATTAACGGGGAATTTAAAAGTATCGTAGATACAAAATCTGCTACATCTCAGAATTTTTTAACATTTCATTTCCAACGCTGCAGACTGAAGCACACACTGGGAGCTGCTCCACAGCGGTGCTGGCCCTGGACACCGCGGTCCTTCCAGCACACTGGCATGACAAAAAACATTATCCCACCTCGCAGGATCTGCTTCTTATCGGCCTCTTCCTTTATCTGGCTCAAATTGCAGCTTGCCGCTAAACAAAGGGGGGTTTGTCCCGGTCACCCTCGGGCGATGGGTGCTCACCTCC